CAATCCAGGAAGCTAAACAATAACTTCTGTTAACAATTGGCCCTAAATGACCAGGATTTGATTAATAACTAGCAGCTTCCCTAATTTTTGTCACCACTTTCAACTTAGAGCCAACCAGAGAAAGCCAAATATGTACACCTAACCCATAGGATGCTCTGCTTCTAGTTAGCCCTCTTTTAGATTCCCTATGCCAATAGCCTCCAATCAGGCCATTCCTGAAGCCTTCCTTTTTCTCCACTGTAAATGTTTCCCATTCCTCCATCTGCCCTTGAGTCTCTCCCAAAACACAAGTGACAGTGGTTGACTCCCTTGTTATAGTAAGCTCTGAATAAATAGCCCTGAATAAATAGCTCTGAATAAATAGATGATCTATTTATTTCAACACGATCAAACACCCACTGTACATCCATCAATGGACAACATGCTTAGATATATTAGAAAGTCAACCATCACAATATTCTGTGAGGAATTTTTTCATCCCCATTTACAGATACAGAGAACTGAAGTTTGCAGAAGTTTAGATAGCTTCTCACGTTTTCCTATTCTACATCATGTTACAGTAAGTGCTTTTGGTATATTATTTTGGTAAAGTTTTTGAGATAATATTAAAAGGATATCTAACAATAATAACAACAATAGATATAAATTAGATGAATGTTTTCTAGCATTACTTGCTTTTGTATCTGGCAACTTGCTGGATAAAAGTCCACATTGTATTTTTAGTTGACTCACTGCTTTAAGGTTATTTAGAATCACTTTAAGGGTGATTCTAAAAGAACGGAATAAGTATTGATTTGCCTAGCATTTCAGATACTCTGCAATTTTTTAAGTTAATTGCCTAACAATCATATATGTACTATTGTATTTATTTTACAAATGAAGAAGCAAAGTTGTAAAGATATTCAGAACTTTAAGACTTTCAGCTAGTGAGCAGGGGAGTCTATATATAAAAACTGAATTACTTTTTGGTTTCAAAGTCCAACAAACATGCTCAAAACTCCTTTGATTAAAATTCACTTTAAAATGTTCCCTTACCACATAAGTTGGTCACAGAACCTAAAACTGAAGTAACATTTTCTAAGTATAAAATAATACAAATTAGCTTTATAGGAAAGAAGGGGGGAAAACAGCATTTGCACATATTAGAAATTACCATGCAAGTTACATAAAGCCAGACAGAAAAAATAGAAAAATATAGATGAATAATAAGGCTTTTTACTGCCTGAAAATAAAATGATATTTAAGAAAAATTCCTTTAACAAAGACCTGAAAAAGTAAAAGGAAATATACAGATAACATTGTTTAAATAATAACTGGAATAAGAAATCATGACTAAAGGCCAAATAATTCCTCATGCGGTTTCTACTTTCTTACTAATTCCCTTCAGTTAACTCAAACTTTTACTATGAATTCCTTGCACTGAGCATAAATTAAGATGAACAGAAAAGTTAGAATTTGAGAATCCTTATGAAAAGGAAGAGATTCAAGCCCTTGGCCTTTATAACATTTCATGTTAAGGAAGGAAACTATTTTCTTGAAATTTCCCTGTTTTAATAAAGGTAATGAATTTGTCACATAAAATTATAAATATCAAAGTCATGATTTGACCATTTTGCTAAGTGTACAGAGAAGAAAACGGTGCCTCTTTTACACACCTTAAAGGTGTTTTGCCTTGCCATAAACAAAACACTGGGGCTTCCCTGGTGGCGCAGTGGTTGAGAGTCCGCCTGCCGATGCAGGGGATATGGGTTCGTGCCCCGGTCCAGGAAGATCCCACATGTCGCGGAGCGGCTGGGCCGTGAGCCATGGCCGCTGAGCCTGCGTGTCCGGAGCCTGTGCTCCGCAACAGGAGAGGCCACAACAGTGAGAGGCCCGCGTACCACAAAAAAAAAAAAAAGAAAAAAAACATTGATGTTCAATATCAGTTGATATAATTTTTTAAATTTTTAGTTCTATCTCCCTATCTCCTCTCCACTGAGCTACAAGACAAATTTTTCATATGAATGAGAAATTACTTGAGGTCTCTATCTTTGCCTCTTTCTATACCAGACTTTCTAAATGGGGGAAGGTGGGCAAGAAGTATAGGGCAGGTTGGGAGATGCATTTTACAAGAAAAAACCTAGGGAGTTTCCCAAACATCATGTATCTCAGAGGTTGAGGTTGATGCCAAGAAAAACAACCATATTGAAAATAACATGTTCTAATCACTGTGAAGCAATAGTATGTGTAGTACAAGCAGACTGATCTGGCTCTTCCATTGGCCGTGTGAGTCACCTTTGGCTATTCAAGTCACTTAACTTTGTGACAAGTTCCTTCATTTGTAAAATGGAAATAATGATAATAGAACCTCATGGGATTGTTGTAAGTATTAAGAGACAATATATATGTGTTGACACATAGTAAACACTAGGTTTATCATTGCTGTCAGTTTGAAACAAAGCAAATTACTTTGTTTTAGAGAATGAGCAGCAAATTGAAAGTTTTTCTTATGCTGATGGTCAAGACAAAGAGGATGCTGTTTGTTCCATGAGCTACGACAATGTTCTTAGAGGGAAGAGGAGACCAAGAGAAAAGAATTGCTTTCTAGAAAAAATTAAGCATCACGTTTATGTCTTTTCAATTGAAGAAACTGATTACAGGCTTCTCTATGCTCCATAATGGCTAATGAATACTTGATTATAACACTATCATGCTACACTCTGTCTTTGTATCTGCGTGTGAGTCTTTTGTTAAACTTGGTACGTCTTGAAAGTAGTAGTTATGTCAAAATATTTGAATCTCATGTCTAATAATGGCTTACATGCAGAGGTACTCAATACATGTTGAATGTTTACGGTTTCCTTTGCTGTGCAAAGGTTTTAAGTTTAATTAGGTCTCATTTGTTTACTTTTGTTTTTATTTTCATTATTCTAGGAGGTGGGTCAAAAAAGATCTTGCTGGGGTTTATGTCAAAGAGTGTTTTTCCTATGTTTTCCTCTAAGAGTTTTATAGTGTCTGGTCTTACATTTAGGTCTTTAATCCATTTGGAGGTTATTTTTGTGTATGGTGTTAGGTAGTGCTCTAATTTCATTCTTTTACATGTACCTGTCCAGTTTTCCCAGCACCACTTATTGAAGAGGCTGGGAATAAGTGAAACAACTTATTGTTACAAATGAAACAATGGACAAAGGATTAATCTCCAAAATATACAAACAGCTCATGAAGCTCAATATTAAAAAAACAAACAATTCAATTAAAAAATGGGCAGAAGACCTAAAGAGACATTTCACCAAAGAAGACATATACATGGCCAAGAGGCACATGAAAAGATGCTCAACATCACTAGTCATTAGAGAAATGCAAATCAAAACTACAATGAGGTATCACCTCACACTGGTCAGAATGGCCATTACCAAAAAATCTAGAAACAATAAATGCTGGAAAAGGTGTGGTGAAAAAGGAACCCTCCTGCACTGTTGGTGGGAATGTAAATTGATACAACCACTATGGAGAACAGTATGGAGGTTCCTTAAAAAACTAAAAATAGAACTACCATATGACCCAGCAATCCCACTACTGGGCATATAGCCTGAGAAAACCATAATTCAAAAAGAGACATGCACCCCAATGTTCACTGAAGCACTATTTACATTAGCCAGGACATGGAACCAACCTAAATGTCCATCGACAGATAATGAATGGAAAAAGAAGATGTGGCACATATATACAATGGAATATTACTCAGCCATAAAAAGAAACGAAATTGAGTTATTTGTAGTGAGATGGATGGACCTAGAGTCTGTCATACAGAGTGAAGTAAGTCAGAAAGAGAAAAACAAATACCATATGCTAACACATATATATGGAATCTAAAAAAAAAAAGTGGTACTGATGAACCTAGTTGCAGGGCAGGAATAAAGACATAGACATAGAGTGTGGACTTGAGGACGTGGTAGGGGAGGGCAAAGCTAGGGCAAAGTGAGAGTAGTATTAACACATATACACTACCAAATATAAAATAGTTACCTAGTGGGAAGCAGCCCCATAGCACAGGGAGATCAGCTTGGTGCTTTGCGATGACCTAGAGAGGTTTGATAGGGAGGGTGGGAGGGAGGCTCAAGAGGGAGGGGATATGTGGATATATGTATGCATATGGCTGATTCACTTTGTTGTACAACAGACACTAACACGGTATTGTGAAGCAATTATATTCCAATAAGGATCTATTAAAAAAAAAAAGAAAGGCCTGGAATATGTTAGGCACTTAATAAATGCTGATTCTATCAAAAAGTAAATAAATAAATAAATAAATAAATAAATAAATAAATGGTGAATGAATTTTCAAAAATAAACAAGTGAATGAATACATGGATTGACAGTTTTCAGAGAAAGAATGGTATTCATATAGAGTGGGTTTAATATTTAAAATGAAATGGAAACTCCTTTCAGAAGCTTCTTTCAAAAGTTAAATCTGCATCTTAGAAATGATTCAGAAGCCCTCCCAATATGATTGATTTAGTCCAAAGGATTGCACACTGTTCTGTTTCTACTTCAACTTGACAGAAGATATTTTATGTCTCCTAAATGAGTAATAAAGAGTTGTACTTGTATTGTCTCTTGACTAATAAGTCATATCATTTTATTGAGAAAAAAAGTAGAGAGCCTATCTTGGGAAGAATTTTCATTTATATACAAACACATACAGATTTATTAGTTTGAATTGGTTGTAGATTTTCAAAAATTAAGGTTTTTTTTTAACTGACTTAAGGTGAAGAAAAGTTTCTCCTTTTGAAATCTTGAAGATATTTCAGAGTGCATGTTGTATTGCCCATGCTTACCTTCCAAAATTAACTATATATGGCAAGCTTGGCATACCTTTTGTTGGTATAACTTGCTTTTAATTTAGGAATCACACTTATTTGAGCTACATAATTTATTTGGTAATTTTAGTACTTACAATGTATTTCCATGACTTTGTGTCTCAGAAATAATATGAGAGGTGGTATATAATTACTTCTTACCCTATTTGAGTCGATTCTTGCTCTGGAAGTATAGATGGGAGGTGGGATGTTGAAAGCCTGAGGGACCAGATATTCCTCAGCATCCATCATATCTTCTAAATCCTCTTCATCCAAGAGATTCTGAAAGAACTTGCTGTCGTTTGGACTGGGAAGCTTCATACGATCATCACCCTAAAAAATTTTCCATCAGATATACACACAGAAATGATTCTTTCCTTCATTTTAAATATGTGAACTTTGTAGCAAATTTATATAATATCTAAATGGTTGCAAATTCATGCACTCATTAAACAAAATAATTATTTAGCACAAATACCAGCCATATAGAAGTCTATAACATACTTAGATATGACACGGTAAGATAAAAACATTTAATACAAGAAGAATGTGATAAATGCCATTAGAGATAAATAAAGCAGAATGCTATGGCTATTTTGAGAGAGGCATAAACCATTTCAGATCTGAGAATAATGGTGGGTTTCATTGTCAAGATGGCGTTTGAGCTGTGACTTTAAGAGTATATAATAAAGAAAGAGCAATTGACTTATCAATCTTTATTATACTTGGTTGGTTTGATAGTGTAGAGCTATCATGATACATTGAATCCATGGTTTGCTCTATAGCATAATATTGTTAAAGTGATAACATTCAAAATCACAGCACTGGTGGCAAATAACATAAAGGGGGTGGGAGAAACACCAAAACAATAGTTACACTCCTACCTCATCTATTTCTTAAGTAGAATTTTAAAATTTGTTTTGTGATATTTTTGTAAACTTTTTAAAATTAATTAGGGAAAAAGTTAGCTAGAAATCATTATCTGCTAAAATCTGACTTTTATCTTCATGTCAGACTACTATTGATATGAAGATAAACACTACCTTGTTTTATTGAGGAATCTTAACTCAGTGTTATCCAAGGTCCACTTGTTTATGGTTTAGGTAAAATAATCATAAAGAAATATATTACAACTTTTAAATTATTAAATCCATTTTTTCTAGTGTTACATATAAAATGTTCTTTTGGTCTATTATTTTTGTACATTAATTCATCTGAATCTGAGTTATTACTTGAATATTGCATACCTCCCAAAAGAAAAAAAAACATATTTTAAAATATTTTTCTAGGAAATTAAATGTCAATTTATTGAAACTTTTAGTTCACTGCCTTCAAACATGGAGACGATTAAAACAAAAATCCATCTTCCTTTTATTCCAAGAAGAGACGATTATAACAATGAACGTGACTAGCAGAGTACTACAAGGCTTGTCTGAGGATAAAGGCCTTTTTATATACATGAATAATCATAATTATCTGGCAGTTCAACAGTAGAGGCACTTGAGTACTAAGGGAAGATGCTTAGAAGTGGTTCTGACATCAAGTAAAAGTCATTTCACATGATATTTTGCTTAGCTAATTAATTAATTTGTGAATGATGATATCCATAGTTCCAAAGTCCAGATATTACTACTGTTTTGTAGTGGGTTTGTCATTGGGATATTCTCAAAAATCTAAGTCAAATGTACAAACCTGAATAACTAGGTATCTTTGAGGGTCTCGAGCCATCCTCGAAAATTCAGCAGCCAGTTCCTTAAATTTAGGTCTACTGTCAGCATCAATCATCCAACCTAGAAATTCACATGCAATAAAAGAGTCACTATATCCATAATTTTATGAAAATAAAAACTAAGTTTGAAACATATCATTTAAATAAAAATGATCTGACAAACAAAGAAAGCTAATGAAAGAAACAATCCAATAGGTGAGATTCTATCGCAATCAGTTTGCTGACATTCATAACTAAATGTAACATATTATAGAACAACACAAGCTTTTTATTTTGTTGATATAATTTAAAATTAATTTTTTATCATAGAAAATATAACCTAGGCTAACCATGGGAATTTACAGAATCTCAGATCTTTTTTCTGTAGGTGTGAAGAGAATTTAAAAATAAAAAAAATATTTTTCTTTGATGGGTATAGAAAAGGTGATTGGAATATAATTTATCATTTTATATCAGGAGTGACATGGAGTAAAAACTTTGGTTGCAATGCTGTATACTGGCAAAAAGGTGAAAAAAGGAATTGAAAGCAACTTTCTTATGCTACTTTTTTCCTGGTGGGAAAAAAATTAATGCAAAGTGATTGGTAATGTTTGTTCAGAAATAGTCATTAGCTTATCTTAGTACTAGCCTTTCCAGCATAAAATACTATCAGCAATTTACCAAGTTATGTATTAAGAGCCTTAACTCCCCAGGCTCTGTTTAACTGATGAAATGACAAGAATAAAGGCACCAAGCTTTCCTTGATTTTATTGCCAAATGACCCTTTTCTTAGATATTAAAACTCCTAAAAGTGAGGTAAAAGTCACTATTAGGCAAGATGTTTTCCTGATTTTTTATTATTCATCAGAGTATCTAAATGAAGTATATAAATCATCTCATGCTAGTTATGGGATCAAATTATGTAATACATGTATGTTTTTAAACTTTCTTCCATAGCTGACTACCGAAAAATGTTTGACCCAATAAAGCTATAAAACTTGTTTCCCCTTTTCTGCAAGTTCACTTTTTATTCTTGTTATGGGAAGTGTTTGGGTGTCATTTTATGTATCATTAAAATTATTTGATTTTTTTCTCTCCTAACAAAGCTCAAATGCTCTATATTTTATATGTAACCACTAAAAAAAAAATGCTGTTGATACCAAGATGTTAATGAGAAAATCAATGTTTCTGGAACTCTGTTGGAACCAGAAAAGGTTAAATTCTCAGTGAGGTATCAGTTTCTTTCCAACTAAATATTGAGTAAACAGAACTACATTTAGAGAAAAGGGCATGCTGACCTGAAGTGAAAAGCACATTTTTTATTTCTTCCCTCACTGTCAGAATGTATCACACATGTCATGAGTATAAATCTGAGTAGACCTGTCCAAAGTCTCTTATTAATAAGATGCTTATTCACCTTCACCAGTTTGTTTCTTTGCTAACCCTGTGTAAATCAAAAGGGGAAACCTCTCATTACACAAGAAAGATTGCTGAATGCTAATCTCATTTAAATTAAGTCAGATACTCCAGAGACTTCCCTAATTCTATTTAAATTAAGAGTCTAGGCTTCCAAAATACATTTATAACACATATGTGTCTGGGGCATAGAAGGGAGAAAGAAAAGTAAGAGAGTTAGATGTAAACAAATGATCAAATTGAAAGAAAGTAAACATTTATAATCTTTGTAGTTCAATGTAGATTCATGTCTTTCCACTTCCTATTTTGCCTTGCTAATTTTCTGTTGACTGAAACTGGTAAATCTATTTCCATTTAATTCATTTTTTTAAACTATTAGTTTCAAGCTTTTTTCTTTATGTGCAGATCATTTATTTAGTCTGCTTTTTTCCTTTAAAGAGTATTAACATTATTGTGATTAATTACATCTCTTTATGAGAAACAGTTTCATTGTCATGGAAATGATAAGAATCAAAGTGAAATAAATAAGAAGTGTAAGAATCATACAATGTTGACTTCATAGCATGAAAGCATGATATTGCTTCATATTAACAAGAATCACAACAAACACGGGTTTACATGCTCCTTTTCACAATTATCTGTAAACTTTTATATTTTTCAATATACAGAAAAATTGTGCAGGTTGATTAATTACTAAGAATGATGATGAGGATGATAACATAATTTTGCAATCTTACATTTGACCATGACCATATAAACATCAATAGTGCAGATGGGAGGCTGGGGCAAACGTTCTCCTTTCTCTAACAAATCGGGGATTTCTCTGGTTGGAATTCCATCATAGGGTTTTCCTCCAAAGGTCATCAGTTCCCATATAGTGACTCCTAAAAGGGAGATCAAATTCTTACATAAGGATGTTAACAATATACTTTGAAGAAACCAGCAATATGCCTGTGGCAAAAGAATGCTTCTTAGAGGGCAATTAGAAATAGTCTAAAGAAAGGCTCTTCAGATTCCTATGTCCATATGAGAAGCCCAATGACAAAATGTTTGTGGGAAATTTGATTTTCTTATCATTGTCTTGAAATTTTTAATGGGTAGCAGAGACAATTTCAGAGTGGACAGAATCTGTTCCCCATTTCTACTTATAAGTAATGCTAATGATTGTTGACCCAATTTGTTTCACCACATTAGAGCCTATAAAACAATTTATTTACTATACACATGTGTACTCAGTACCAAATAAATATGATTAGGTAAAATCTGATATTGACTAATTTTGAGACTAGCATCTTTACTATTAAAAGCCCAAAAGGCCAAATTGGGGTTCCAGAACGATTACTTATGTTACAGTAAATAATTGTGCTTTTCTTTTTAACTAACACAAGGAGAACAAGTGGAATAAAACAGATTCATTTCTTTAACACATATGAGAGACTGACTGAAGAATGATCCATATGTAAGATAAAATACATGTAAAGTGAGCTTTCGAAAATTGAAGTGAATCAATAATAGTGTATTCCTTAGACAATAAGAACGGTTTCTTGAATCACTAGAACACTGATTTCCTCAGTAAAAGCAAATACTCTAAATACTAGCATGTAAGTAGCCACCTTTGACAAGAATAATGACCTGATCTGAGCAATAACATACACAATACAGATCTCTTCTTTATAATCTAATAATTATATAATTTAAAAGTTATAGTTTTCTTAAGGATAAAGGTTGTTAGTTCAGAAATAGCTATGTGGGCACAATAGTATTAGCAAGTGAATTTTGATTGATGCATATACAAGTATCTTTTATATAAAATCTAATTATGGCTATGTTTTCTTTTCCACTGCCATCTGTAATGAATTATTTATTCAAACTGAAGTAATTTTTAGCTCATAAGAGTTATCATTGACATAATAAAAATGCAAAGCTTAAACTATAAAAGTATATGTAAACTTCAAATTATTCTTCATAATAGTATCGTTAATGATTATCTGATTTTTTTAGTTAATATTTACATCTTATGATTCTTAGGTATAATATAAACGTGTAACTAGTGACACAATTTCACTGTTTGATCTTTATAAAACCCTACTTGATGTTGCATACTAAAGAATGATTCATAGAACTGATGATTAAAACTCAGTGTCCATGAGGCAGGCTGGAACAAGTTAAGAAGTAGATTACTGTCTATTTATGTTCAGTCAGTCATATTTATAGAATATGTATTTAATGAGAACATTTTATTAACTCATGTTTGCAGTTATAAAAGAATAGATGCTCTCACATCTCTATCAGAACTTCTAATATAAGCAAGATACAAAGCAACTACAAATTAATAGAAAATACAATAAACAGAAATACATATATACAAAAACTGAAGCAGAAAAATCAACCCCCCCACTTCTGCCAATAATATTCCAATTATATCTTTGCAGAGGTGATGATAAGTAGAGTCAAACAGAGATGACTTCATATAGAAGAACAATCTCAAGAAAGCTAAATTAGAAACATCTTCAAAACTTACAATTCTATCATTTGAAGATATAAACCATATTCAATGCATATTTATTTTTATAAAAATAAAGATGCACCCAGTGGCAATGTTCCACAAAGATTCACTGTAAACAAGATTATATATCTTTCTCTGCCTTTTATGCCTTTGCAACCAACTATGATATATCATAAAAATCTTAAAATGCCTTATGGATATGGGTTGATTAACTGGGCTATGTTTCAAAACAGAGTTCACTCTATCATTCTGTCTATCTATCATCTATTTATCTATCTATCTATCCATCTATCTATCTATTTTTACTGAACTGCTTCTGAGATGTTGCAATTCAACATGAACCTTATAGCCTTAAAACAGGATTTTCTCTAAAAGATAAATTTTACTATTAAAAATGTGATTGCCCTGCCAACGTTTACTTTAATGTGTATATATAGTTACTTATTCTAGAGGTCATTTAAAATTTTCAGATTGTCATGTTTAGTTCAGGGAAATATAAGTAGGAAAAAAAAGGGAAAGAAAAGAAAAAGATATATATGATATTATTTAAATCTATCTTATAAAATATATAAATCTATCTATATCATATAATATATAAGCTAATCTATACCATATAATATATAAATGATTATGTACATGCTAATGTATATCATATTCTATAAACATCTATCTCATATTTATAATGTATATGATATATATAATAAAAATAATAATATATATGATATATTTGTTTTTTATTTAGTCCTGACAGTTGAACTATGCTTTGTCAAGTATTCCTCCGTACGTGCCTAAATCTCAAACACACAACACTCTACTGCTAAACTGAGCAGAATACATGAGGCCTTTGTGGAAATTTTAACACCTCCTATGGTTTACATGTGTGGAAGGAAAAACTATCCTATAGAAATGTCTTATTATTTTAAAGATAATTTATACTGTTCTAGATAAGAAGTATAAGTTCTTTAGTGACTTAATGATTTAATTTTCTTTCTAAAAAAAAAGTAAATGAACTAAACTTAAATTTGAGCAAAATAAATCGTATCATGCTTTCAAGTCTCACCACCACCATATTATTTAAAGAAGCATAGTGCTTTTTATTTGTAAGAGTGCTAGTTTTATATGGTATATTTAAACTTAGAAAAGGTGTTGATTTATTCTTACTAATACTTAGATGGACATAAGTTGTAAATAGCCAGACAGAGGCTAAGAAGCTCATCTCAAAAACTGAGTTAAATGCAATTAAATATATTTTCTAAATTTTCAAATCTCTATTTCCAGTTCATATTATAATTCTCTAATATATCTATTTACTCCAAAAGTAGTTTGTAAATTAAAATTAAAGCTGTAATTAGAAATCATCTCTCTTACCTCTCCCCTCACATTTACTACTCTCATCCTACTGATTTCAATAACTGTTCTTTGTTCTAACAATAATCTCTATTTTTTTTTTACTATAGAACATAGATTCCCATAAGAAAAAAAATTTTTTAAACATTCATTGCATTTAGAGTTATGTTTTATTGTTTGTTTGTTTGTTTTGCGGTATGTGCGCCTCTCACTGTTGTGGCCTCTCCCGTTGCGGAGCACAGGCTCCAGACGCGCAGGCTCAGTGGCCATGGCTAACGGGCCTAGCAGCTCCGCAGCATGTGGGATCTTCCCGGACCAGGGATTGAACCAGTGTCCCCTGCATCGGCAGGTGGACTCTCAACCACTGCGCCACCCTAGCCCTAGAGTTATGTTTTAAAAGAGTTGTTGAAATGAAGGCCATGAGATTCTATGAAAATGTCCCTAAGCTAAAACTGCTGGGGTTTTTTTTGTTTTTTGTCAAAATGATCAGACAAGTTGCTACCAAAATAAAAGGTTATGGTATAAAACTCAACCAAGATGTTAATGTATTACATTTTAGAGACCCAAGAAACATAATATGCTTATTTTTGTTTTAAAAGCCTTATGTCACAAGGAAGAATTATTTACCATAGCTCCAAACGTCACTCTGATGGGTGAATTTTCTATAGTGTATACACTCCAAAGCCATCCATTTAATTGGCATCTATAGAGAAGTAAGAAATGAAAGGTTTATAGTCATATAAAAAGTCATTTCTATATTTCCTCAATATGAGTCTCAATTGTATATTTTGATTGTATGCCTAGAAAATAGAAATAGAAATTGTTATTTTCAATACAGGGAACAAATGAAATGAAATTTAAGCTTCAAATGAATTAACATGAAGATATATTTATTTTTTTGAAGTTTCATAAACAATGAAAAGTAAAATAATAAGTATCACTTTCTATAGTGTTTTTTTTTTGTTTTTTTTTGCGGTACGCGGGCCTCTCACTGTTGTGGCCTCTCGCATTGTGGAGCACAGGCTCCGGACGCGCAGGCTCAGCGGCCATGGCTCACAGGCCCAGCCACTCCGCGGCAGGTAGGATCTTCCCGGACCGGGGCACGAACCCGTGTCCCCTGCATGGGCAGGCAGACTCTCAACCACTGCGTCACCAGGGAAGCCCCACTTTCTATAGTTTTAATTAACATTCAGTAATTAAGTAACTATTTAACATTATGACTTACAATATCAATTCTAAACATCTAATACATGTACTTCTAAAAATGTGGTCATATTATGTTTTTTCCCCCAAAATGAGATTCTCTACATTTTCAGTAAATGCTTATTCACCCTCAGACAAATTTCCAGCCACTGGTAAAAAGGATTCTTTCTACACTTGGCCCCTCCCTTCTCCTCTCAGATAATTTGGTCACTAAAACACCTAAAATAATGAATTCCAAAGTTAGCCTTGCTTTGTTCCCCAGCCACAGATGATCTTCCTTGTCTTGGTTAGACACTATTGAAAATATGTACCATTTTCATAATAGGAATTATATAAAAGGATATGAGAAGATCAGTACAAATCCATCATCTCTGCAAGAAAAGCAACTCAACTCACCCTGCTGCTGATGGTTTAGCAGAACGATTTTCAACTAAGAAGGGCAGCATTATATAGCTGGGAATATAATTAGATTCTATGGAATAAAGATAAACATTTCTACTTAGCAGCTGAAACATTAAAACTAAATAGGCCTTTGAAATCATGAGGTTGGCTGCTCACCAAGGTGACACCAAGGTAACTCTGTGACAGAATCACGGTATTCAGTGAAAGGGAACAGAAGACACATTGAAAGTAATTTCCCTACGGGCAAGGAGTTAGCACACTTTATGGACTACGGACACTGTTAAAGAAGTAAGTTTAAATCACAGGTGGCTCAATAAAGACTTAATTGTTACTAGACATTTAAAGCTCTAATGATTCTTGCTTTAGACAAATCTTACAGCTGTATGTTCTCAAGACAAGTGAAGTCATGTGATTTATAGACTTCTACTTCTGCGCAATCCTGTAGTGAATTTCAAAGCCATGGTCTCAAACCGCTGCAATTTGTAGTAAACAAGCAAAATAGGCTAATAAAATCAAGGAAAAGCCATAGAATACTACAAAACCGAAGTTTTTTAAAAAATAAATTTTGTGTTCTTTTGTTTTGTGATAAGACTTGAATATATATAGTTATATAAGAGTTTAGTATAAAAATCAATGTGAAACATTTGGAACACTATCATTGAAAAATATTCATAATGTGTATTTGGATGGCCCTTGATGAATAAGGCGCATAATAAATATATTGATACGATATATGAATTAATTTTTTTTTGTTAGCATAAACTTATAGGTCACTACAGGTTAAGGCTGCATTTGCTTATTTCATTTGGCCTCTCCTGATTGAAATTTCTCCAGACCAAGCTAGAAGGACCTCCACATGAAGAGGAGATATCCTCGACGGTTACCAAAAACAGCAAGGTAACAGCAGGTTAATGAAGAAAGACAAGAGCTGGAACTAAGGCATGGATTGGGACCACATGGTGGGTGAGGGAGGCAGGAACACAGTTGTCAGGCAGGGCCTGAGGACGGAGAGTCAGAAAAGTTAGAAGAGGCAGTGGCACTGCACAGATCCCTGGGATATAGCAGCTTACATTCTAGTGGAGGGAGTCAGATAATAAATAAATTGGTGGGGGGACCTTCAAGATGGCAGAGGAGTAAGACATGGAGATCACCTTCCTCCCCACAAATACATCAGAAATACAACTACATATGGAACAACTCCTACAGAACACCTACTGAACACTGAAAGAAGATCTCAGACTTCCCAAAAGGCAAGAAACTCCTCACGTACCTGAGGGCAAAAGAAAAAAGAAAACACAGAGACAAAAGAATAGGGATGGGACCTGCACCTCGGGGAGGGAGCTGTGAAGGAGGAAAAGTTTCCACACACTAGGCAGCCCCTTGACTGGCAGAGACAGGGGTTGGTGGGGGGAAGCTTCAGAGCCACAGAGGAGAGCACAGCAACAGGAGTGCAGAGGGCAAAGCAGAGAGATTCCTGCACACAGGATCAGTGCTGACCAGCACATGAGTGCTGGTGACAGCCTGAGAGGCTTATCTGCTCACCTGCTGGGGCGGGTGAGGGCTGGGAGCTGAGGCATGGGCTTCGGAGGTCAGATCCCTGGGAGAGGACTGGGGTTGGCTGCATGAACACAGCCTGAAGGGGGCTAGTGCACCACAGCTAGCCAGGAAAAAAGTCTGGAACTGCCTAAGAGGCAAGAGACCATTGTTTCGGGGTGCACGAGGAGAGGGAATTCAGAGCACCGCCTAAACAAGCTCCAGAGAGGGGCATGATCCGCGGTTATCAGTTCAGACACCAGAGACGGGCATGAGATGCTTGGGCTGCTGGTGCAGCCACCAAGGAGCCTGTGTGTGCAAGCACAGGTCACTATCCACACCTCCCCTCCCGGGAGCCTGTGCAGCATGCCACTGCCAGGGTCCCGCGATCCAGAGACAACTTGCCTGGGAGAACAGAGAACACATGGCATACCTCAGGCTGGGGTAACATCATGCAGGCCTCTGCCACCTTAGGCTCACCCCACATTCCATACCCGTCCCACCCCCCCCAGCCTGAGTGAGCCAGAGCCCCCTTATCAACTGCTCCTTTAACCCCCTCCTGCCTGGGTGGGGAACTGATGCCCTCAGGCGACCTACATGCAGAGGTGGGGCCAAATCCAAAGCTGAACCCTGGGAGCTGTGTGAACAAAGAAGAGAAAGGGAAATCTCTCCCAGCAGCCTCAGGAGCAGCAGATTAAATCTTCACAATCAACTTGATGTACCCTGCATCTGTGGAATGCCTGAATAGACAATGATCACACCAAAATTTAGGCAGTGGATTTTGGGAGCAACTGTAGACTTGGGATTAGCTTTTTGCATATAATTTTTTTCTGGTTTTATGTTTATCTTGGTTTAGTATTTAGAGCTTATTATCACTGGTAGATTTGTTTATTGATTTGGTTGCTCTTTTCCTTTTTTTTTCTATTGTATATATATATTTTTTTTCCTATTTCTCTTTTTGTGAGTGTGTATGTGTATGCTTCTATGTGTGATTTTGTCTATACAGCTTTGCTTTTACCATTTATCCAGGATTCTGTCTGATAATTTTTTTTTTGCATAGTTTTTAGTGCTTGTTATCATTAATAGATTTGTTTACTGGTTTGGTTGCTCTCTTCTGTCTTTCCTTTTTTTATTACTTTTTTATTTTAATAAGTGTATTTCATTTTTTTTTCTTTTCTTTCTTTTTTGTCTCTCTTTTCTTCCGAGCAGTGTGGCTGACAGGCTCTTGGTGCTCTAGCCAGGTGCAAGACCTGAGCCTCTTAGGTGGGAGAGCCGAGTTCAGGACATTGGTCTACCAGAGATCTCCTGGCCCCACGTAATGTCAAATGGCGAAAGCTCTCCCAGAGATCTCCATCTCAATGCTAACACCCAGCTCAACTCAACAACCAGCAAGCTGTAGTGCTGGACACCCATGCCAAACAACTAGCAAGACAGGAACACAACCCCACCCGTTAGCAGAGAGGCTCCCTAAAATCATACTAAGTTCACAGACACCCCAAAACACACGACCAAACACGGTCCTGCCCCACAGAAAGAAAAGATCCAGCCTCATCCACCAGAACATAGGCACCAGTCATCTCCACCAGGAAGCTCACACAACCCACTGAACCAACCTTACCAACGTGGGGCAGACAGCAAAAACAATGGGAACTACGAAGATGCAGCCTGTGAAAAGGAGACTCCAAATTCAGTAAGTTAAGCAAAATGAGAAGACAGAGAAATACGCAGCAGATGAAGGAGCAAGGTTAAAACCAGCCAGACCAAACAAATGAAGAGGAAATAGGCAGTCTACCAGAAAAAGAATTCAGAGTAATGATTGTAAAGATGAACAAAAATCTTGGAAATAGAATGGAGAAGATACAAGAAACGTTTAACAAGGACCTAGAAGAACTAAAGAGCAAACAAACAATGATGACTACCACAATAAATGAAATTAAAAATTCTCTAGAAGGAATCAATAGCAGAATAATTGAGGCAGAAGAAGGGATAAGTGACTTGGAAGATAAAATAATGAAAATAACTACCACAGAGCAGAATAAAGAGAAAAGAATGAAAAGAATTGAGGACAGTCTCAGAGACCTCTGGGACAATACTAAATGCACCAACATTTGAATTATAGGGGTCCCAGAAGAAGAAGAGAAAAAAAATATGGAAATGAGAAAATTTTGAAGAGATTACAGTTGAAAACTTCCTTAATGTAGGAAAGGAAATAGTAAGTCAAATACAGGAAGCACAGACAGTCCCATACAGGATAAATCCAAGGAGAAACAAGCCAAGACACATATTAATCAAACTATCAAAAATTAAATACAAAGAAAAAATATTAAAAGCAGCAAGGGAAAAGCAACAAATAGCATACAAGGGAATCCCCATAAGGTTAACAGCTGATCTTTCAGCAGAAACTCTGCAAGCCAGAAAGGAGTGGCAGGACATATTTAAAGTGATGAAAGAGAAAAAACTACAACAAAGATTACTCTACCCAGCACAAATCTAATTCAGATTCGATGAAGAAATTAAAACCTTAACAGACAAGCAAAAGCTAAGAGAATACAGCACCATCAAACC